GCGCGTGTGTGTGTGTTTCGTTGTCGACACATGTATTTTCAAATTTGTAGCAAATTCAAGTGTCTTAACTGTTCATTCGAATGTCGAATCGCACTCTTAACTCGATAATTTCCTACTGAAAAGGGTTAAAGTTAGATAATACAGACGTCATATCAAGGGAAGTTAAAAGAAGTAATGTAAAAGCAGGAATAAAGTAAAAGTAATCAAAAATGGATACCATTGACATTTTTCCAGTTCTTTTTCTTTTAAGGTCGACAAGCTACGATCGGTATATTCTATGTCTCGAGTATTGGAGATTCAAATTGAGGCACAGACAGGAATTGACTGGTCAATGCATCATAGCGTTCAAGACATGGTAGAAGGGAGGATGACACATCTTGTGTGCAATATCCTTCTAAAAGCCATAGAGAAAACAACCTTTTTCTCTCTGGTCCGTTCGAGGTTTTGCCGAAAGAGATAATCGTTTGCCACATTAACTGCACTGCGACTGGATTTGTCGACGCCGCGGTAAGTTTCTGGATAAAATTTCAATAAAAATTCGGCACAGTGTTGCCTGTTTAGTAAGACAGAATCTTATACAGTAAAGCGTGTCTGTGAATACGGAATATGAATATGTTTATAATATGTTTAACAGAAGTAATTTCTAATCCTTGAAACGTACGATTTTGCTAGCGTGATTATACTGTATTCAGCGTCACTGTCTGGGCCGTGAAATTCTAATTACATTTAAATAAATATAGTCTATTTACATTTAAATAAATATAAAACGATTGACGTTTTCTCGTTGCATCAATTTGCAATTAGTTGCAAAGTAGATTCGATATCGAGTGCTTTTTCCCTCATCAGTATAATTTTTATGGCGCGGTGTGTGTGTGTTTGTTTGTGTATGCGCGCGTGCTCAAGTGAGTGTCTATTCAAAACGGCATGGTACGTTTTAAATTTAGGAAAATATGACAATAATTAGAATAAGGACGAACGTTTGTTAAAATTCAAACTCCCGCATGATTTAGAATATATTTCTGCTTGCACATTTCAGAAAGTACGATGTTTAGGTAGATTTAGAGTTTTCGCAATTAATTTGTCGATATGGAAGAAAAATTTGATATTGGATATTGCAAGGAGTGTATGTTCGAATGTGTTGAAATAAACTTTTCAATGGACTACCTCTTTCAACTTTCAACTATCTCACTAGAGGTAGAGTATGTATGATGAATTGATATTCGATCGGATTTGTAGCGTGCTCATATTCAAACAGATTCGTCGCCATGACAGTGTAGAGTGCGGGTAAACGAAACGGGTTGGTGGAAACGAAGGACCTGTATCTACCATTACGGTTTGGAGTTGTTTGACGTCTTCAATGACAGCCGCCGTATTGTCTCACGTAACGGTGCGCGGTACTCTCGCAAACTGCGTTCCGTGCTGGTTTACAACATAGTATTTAGTGTTTTACCGTGAGAATATCAGATTGTGTGCCGCTGTGCCAGCCTCGGGGTCGAGAAAAGATAAAAAGCACAAGCGCGAAAGGCAGGAAGGTGA